ATATTTGCACTAATAAAGTGTGTAAACATTCGCTCGTTATGGATGAACAAGACAGTGAAAAACGGACGGTAAAAATGACTGAGAAAGCTGTGGAAGAACACAAGTCCAGACAACTTCATGCACGCAGGTATAAGCTATCTCAGCTAACGAGCATGATAAAGCAAATAATTAGTTCGCAAAGTAACTCTTCACTAGAAATTGTGTGAAATGATTTCCAGGCGGTAGGTAGTGGGAGTGGCCTGCGGAGCTGAGCATTGCAATGCACTATGGGGATTGTTGTCTACAATCCACAAGCACTAAAAAGTCATTTTCTGCCTTTTATCGGCCAAGAAGGACCCAAATTAGAAATGTATGCTACTATTCTACTACATATATGACCCACTTTCAATACATATTCATGTCTCAACCGGTGGAATTACCCTTTAAACAGAAAAAAGAATAAAAAAACACCATTATTAACCAGTTAATGGTCATTTCAAGTAATCGTTTCTGGTTTTTCCCCAGTTTTTGTTTTCATTCTTTGAACTGGTTCAGAGCCCTCATATTTACATAATAATAATAATTATTATTATTATATACCTGTTTGCCGTGTAGAGAAGATGAATAGTGTGTTGCTTTTTTTCCCTTAGAAAAAACAAAAATGGGCCTGGGTGAGGCTGACAGCTCCACAGGTATGTGTGTGCGCATATATTTTAGATATTTATTTGAGAAAAAGGATACATGTTGATTTTATTTTTTATCTTCCACAGTAATTCAGTGTAAAGTGGTCATTTTCATGTTACACAGGACCAGAGACTAGTTTTCCCTGTGTGCTTATCTGCTGATATTTCACATGGTCCGAAACTGTTTGGATTGTAGGGCTGGAATACATTTTAATTGTTGCTTTTTACCCCTCAGGAAAAAGCCAAATGAATCAGGATGAAACTGAGAACTCCAGAGGTATTTAAACATTTGGGTATATTAAAGTTATTCCATGTATATACATATAGGTGTATAGGTATACATATGTGTATGTATATGTTTGTTTGTTTGTTTGTTTGTTTGTTTTACAGGGACCAAATTGAGGAGAATTGCGAAAAGGCCATGGAGCCCAAATGAAGTGAATGCTGTCATGAAACATTTCAGAGTCCATATTTCAAAGGGACACCTTGCAACAAAGGCAGAGTGTGAGCAGTGCAAGACTGCAGAGGACCCTGTTCTGAGAGAAAGAACGGCCCAAAATATAAGGGATTTCGTGAGGAACCGAGGTTTGATGTTGAAAAAGAAATCTTCTTAGAGTTCTTCGAGAGATCAGTGTCGCCTTCCATTAAAGGTTGTATCAGCGATTTCAGGCCCAAAAAAGGCCCAAATATAAATGATCACATTCATCTAATTTTTCCTAACGATCCGCTAGCTGCCCGCTCCATAAGCATGCCGTCCAAAAACCGTGTCTCTGTAGGCAGCCTAGGCTCTGAGATCTGCACACAAAAGGTGGGGGTGTTGTGGTTTGAGATTTTGCGGTGATTGGTTGGAACACTGTTTATTTTGGTTTTGAGTGGTTGGTGAAACCCATTGTTTTTGTGTGCAGATCTCAGAGCCTAGGCTGCCTACAGAGAAGCGTTTTTTGGACGGCATACTTATGGGGCGGCCAGCTAGCGGATCGTTAGGAAAGATTAGATGAATGTGATCATTTATGTTTGGGCCTGAAATCGCTGATACAACCTTTAATGTCTGTGGGTTTTGTTCTCTAAAGTGTTGTTGGGCCAGAAGAGTGTTCAAGACATCCTTTTATTTACTTTTATTAAAACACTGTTTTGAAAGAAATGTACAAATACATGCATTTACTGGAAGGCAATTTAATTTGGTTTTATTTCCAGTGTGTTGCTGAGGTCATTTTGAGGCACACTCCCTCATGCACTTTAGTCCCATAATGGTTAGAGATGCACCGATTACAATTTTCTAGGCCGATTCCGAGTTTGACCTGCCGATACCGATTTTAGCCGATTCCGATTTCATTTTTTTCTAACCACTTTACAGCACACACAAATATTTATTTTCTATTTTTTTTTTTTTATAAAACACCATATACTTCTACCCAAACTGAATAATAAAAACAAGTTTAAATGGGTGAATTTTCTATAAATATGTTTGAGTCTTCTTCATTTTCTTTTCTGACATAGCCTACTCCAGTTCTTGTTAAAACACACTAGACATGCAAATTGTGCATTTTGGCCACTTTTTGTGTGAAATCATATTTATTTTGCCCATCAAAAAAAGTGTGCTTTCACTTTAATTGAGTGTGAGCAGCGCAGCAAAAATAGACTCTGTGCCGAAACCGCTTCACTGCTGCTCACGCGACGCTCCTGCTTGACGCTCTGCTCCCGCTCCCAGTGTGATGCATTCACTGATTAACATGCACGCTGAAAAAAATACACGCCTCTCACGCTTGCGGTGTGAAACGGCCGTAATTCACGAGGTTTTCTACATGTGCGTTCCGTGTGCACGTGTGATGCTGATGTTAATCATGCAGCGCCCGAGTGCGTTTGACCGGTATAAAATCGGCATATGTCAGACTGACCGGCCGATCGCCGGTCATGGCCGATCACGTGAAAATCGTCCAATTCCGGTCCCAAGCCGATCAATCGGTGCATCTCTAATAATGGCCTTATTAGATCTCAGTTGTTGAGCCTTTTTTTACCATTTGCAAAATAAAAATTGCCCTTTCAGTTTAATTTTGTTAGTTTTTATTGGCTGTCTAGTTGCATTTCTTCATCTAATTGCCCTTTAACTAGTCTTCTATGAAGTGTAAAACTTGCTGATCTTTGATCACTGAATTTTCTCCAACCAGGTTCATTTTGCACCACATGTGTATATGTTGGTTGATATAGCAACAGCACATTGTAGCACTATTTCCTTAGGTGTGCGTATTACTTTTACAGGTTTAGTGGCAGCAAAAAGATGCACAATCATTTGTGAATTCACTCTTTAATGTAGAATAGTTGATTTGGTTTAGTATGGTTAACTCTAATACAGGTACTCCTGCTATGTGTGGAGTTAATAGTGATGTCCATTTAAACCCAGTTTGTCCTCATAATCAAGGGTTAGTCAGGTGTTTGTGTGTGTTTGTGAGGTCCAGTTAAACCCAAAATGTCCTCATAATCAAGGGTTAGTTAGGTGTTTGTGTGTGTTTGAGAGTGTGTGTGTGAGTGAGGTCCAGTTAAACCCAAAATGTCCTCATAATCAAGGGTTAGTTAGGTGTTTGTGTGTGTTTGAGAGTGTGTGTGAGTGAGGTCCAGTTAAACCCAAAATGTCCTCATAATCAAGGGTTAGTAAGGTGTTTGTGTGTGTTTGAGAGTGTGTGTGAGTGAGGTCCAGTTAAACCCAAAATGTCCTCATAATCAAGGGTTAGTTAGGTGTTTGTGTGTGTTTGAGAGTGTGTGTGAGTGAGGTCCAGTTAAACCCAAAATGTCCTCATAATCAAGGGTTAGTTAGGTGTTTGAGAGTGTGTGTGTGAGTGAGGTCCAGTTAAACCCAAAATGTCCTCATAATCAAGGGTTAGTTAGGTGTTTGTGTGTGTTTGAGAGTGTGTGTGAGTGAGGTCCAGTTAAACCCAAAATGTCCTCATAATCAAGGGTTAGTCAGGTGTTTGTGTGTGTTTGTGAGGTCCAGTTAAACCCAAAATGTCCTCATAATCAAGGGTTAGTTAGGTGTTTGTGTGTGTTTGAGAGTGTGTGTGAGTGAGGTCCAGTTAAACCCAAAATGTCCTCATAATCAAGGGTTAGTTAGGTGTTTGTGTGTGTTTGAGTGTGTGTGTGAGTGAGGTCCAGTTAAACCCAAAATGTCCTCATAATCAAGGGTTAGTTAGGTGTTTGAGAGTGTGTGTGAGGTGAGGTCCAGTTAAACCCAAAATGTCCTCATAATCAAGGGTTAGTTAGGTGTTTGAGAGTGTGTGTGAGGTGAGGTCCAGTTAAACCCAAAATGTCCTCATAATCAAGGGTTAGTCAGGTGTTTGTGTGTGTATGCATGATTCATATGGTTACTGATGTCCAGTTAAACCCAAATGGTCAGCAATGTTCATTTAGATACTAATAGCAAGTCTTGAACAATCTTCTCTTTTGACATTAACAAAACCCAAACCCAATCAACTGGAAATATTTAGCTTTATTCAAAACTATCTTTAGACAAAACTTCTTAAAATCTAATTAATAAATTAAGACTGACATTCAAGGTTCAATTATGAAAAATACTTGTGGGTGAATGCATTTGTCAGTGATGGTTAAATAGTAAACTCTCCTTTTGGTTTTTTAATTTCTTAATTTTTAAAGCTAAAATATTTCCGTATTTCACTTTCCCTCTTCTCTCTTTGCTCTTCACTCACTTCACACCTGCTAAATCTCACATTACAAACTCAGGTTAGTTTTCTGAAATCTCTCTTAAAGTTTAAGCCAGGTTGAACAATTGCTGATAATTTCTTGTTTTGTTTTTCTATATGCTGGTATTGAAACAAACTTAAGTGATGCGGCACTCTCATGGGTAAAGTTAGTCCAGGTTATACCAGGTTAGTCCTCATAATTAAGGGTTAGGTGTGTGTGTGTATGTGTGAGATGTCCAGATAAACCGGGGTTGTCCTCATAATTAAGGGTCAGGTGTGTGTGTGTGTGTATGTATGTGAGTGATGTCCAGATAAACCAGGGTAGTCCTCATAAATCATAATTAAATCAGGAAACGCCCACTCCTGCCCTGTCCTTACAGTGCTTTAGTTTGTCAGGTCTTCATATTACCAGACTGTTTCATTAGAATTAAATTCTGAGCAGTCAGCTTTTTACCCCATGCCATAAGGAGCAGTTTAATATTTCTTATTAATCTCTATGACAAAGGGAAAGGTGGGTCCCCATAAACCAGGATGGAACTTTTTAGGGGAAAAAGTCTTTATAAACCACCCGTACCAGTATGTGTGTGTGCGTGTGTGTGTGTGTGTGTGTTGACGTCACGTCTACATCCTCCTGTGCTCTTCGGCTCAG